CACGCCCAGGGCTGCAGCCTGGTCTCACCAGGATGGGCAATGAGAGGAGCTGTCCCTGTCCCTGGGGTTACTCACTGCTGCCCTTTGGCTCCTCTGAGGGCTCTGCCTGTGAGGCCACGATCTTGAAAACCGTTTTCAAGATGCTCCGCAGGTCACTGGCAAAGTTGGTCTGGAGTTGATCGGCCACTCCTGCACCGGGAGGAGGGGGGGTCAGGGTGCGGGGGGGGGGTCATAGGTCTGGGGATTGGCAAGTGGGTCACTCACCCGAGATGCAGACAAAGAGGGTGTGCAGCATGTCCTTGGTGCTGCTGTAGCGGGAGCGCAGCTCCGAGCAGTGTGCACCCAGGGTGGCACTGAGCCCTGTCCCCGGGGACTGGGGGCTGTACAGAGGGCAGGTGATGGTTACCCCAGGGATGGCATGAAAAGCCCCTGTCCCAGGGGGCAGAGATTGGCCACCTTGGCCCTGCTCCCTCCCTGCCACACACCTCCACTGCCAGCAGGTGCCCAGGTTGTCCACTGCGCCGGGGGGTTCCAGCCATGTCGTGCAGGCAGGGGGTGATAGGGGGGCACTGGGGACATCCAGGAGACCCCATGGAGCAGGGGGGTCTGTTTGGGGCACAGCTGCTTCCCAAGCTGGGGGGGTGGCTGGACTGCAGAGATACTCCTGCTCAGCTGTGCACAGGCTCCTCTCCAGCAGGCAGAGCTCCTCTACTGACAGCACCTGCAGCAGGTCCCTGTGGTGAGAGGATGGCATTAGCCCCATGTTACAGCCCCACTGCTGCCCCCGCATCACACCCCACCATGTACTTGATCTTCTTCAGGAGGCTGTAGAAGGGGCTGAAGACCTGGGACATCTGCTCAGGGCTCCGTTCCAGGCTGAGGGGACCATCCGGGTAGATGAGAAGGCCACTGCAAGGCAACAGAGCCCAGCCCACATCAGGGGGATTGCCCAGTACCCCAGCTCCACAGAGGGAGAAGGGCAGGGAGCACCCAGCCTCCCCTGGTCACCCCCCTCTGCAGGGGGCTGCACCCACCTGATAATAGCCAGGCGAGGGATGGTGAACATCAGCAGTGGTTCATAGCCATCGATCATCTCCTGGGTCAGGTAGCCCAGGCGCAGGGCTCTGGAGGGGACATGCTTATAGTGGGGCCAAGACCCAGGACAGTGCCCCATCCCCAGGGCTGGGGTCACTGCCACCCCCTGCCTGGCACAGGGTGCCCCTCACCTCTCCACTGTCTCACAGAAGAGCACAATGATCTCCTGCTGCCTGTAGATCTCCTCGGGAGACTTCACCGCCACCAGTGAGGACACATAACTGGAGAGATGGGGGACCATGAGGCTTCTCCAGCCCCAGCACCGCACCCCCACCCCAGCACCCCACAAGCTCCTCCTCCTGCCTGTAGATCTCCTCGGGAGACTTCACCGCCACCAGTGAGGACACATAACTGGAGAGATGGGGGACCATGAGGCTTCTCCAGCCCCAGCACAGCACCCCCACCCCAGCACCCCAACCCTGGCCCCCACCTCAGCTCGACCTCTGCGAAGAGCCGGTCAAACTGCACAAGCACAGCCCGGACAGGCTCTGGGTAAGAGCTGGGCTGGCTCAGGCTCTGCTCCCGCAGCACTGTCCGCACCAGCTCCAGGCTGCACAGCAGGTTCCTGGCCTGGGGCCGTAGATGAGCTCCATCCGCCTCCTCCACCTCCAGGAAGGTCCCAGCCAGGAGACACTGCTGAACTCTGCGAAGAGCCGGTCAAACTGCACAAGCACAGCCCGGACAGGCTCTGGGTAAGAGCTGGGCTGGCTCAGGCTCTGCTCCCGCAGCACTGTCCGCACCAGCTCCAGGCTGCACAGCAGGTTCCTGGCCTGGGGCCGTAGATGAGCTCCATCCGCCTCCTCCACCTCCAGGAAGGTCCCAGCCAGGAGACACTGCTGGGACCAGGGACCATCAGAAGCCAGCACCTGGGACAGCACAGCCCCTGCACCTAGGGTCAGCACCCATGGGTGCCCCATTCAGCCTGGGGAAGCTGGACCCCATCGCCTGCCCCACGACAGCATCCCCGGGCTCACCTCAGCAGCAAACAGCATGTGGTTCCCCAGGTTGTCCACCAAGAGCTCCTCAGGGAACTTGACCAGGTAGTCACGGCTGTGACGCTGCGTAGGGATGCACTCCTCCATGATCTGCTCCAGCACGGACAGCAGGTGAGCCTGGGGAGGACAGGGATGTCACCCGCAGCCACCCGTGGGGACCAGGGTCACAGCGGGGCCCAGGCTTCCCCCGTACCTGACTGAGGTGAAGCTGGTTGAGGAGCACCAGGTACTGCTGCGGGTCCAGCTCGGCATCCAGCCCATTGATCTCAGCCACCACCTGCGTCACCCTCTCGTCAGCAAAGAAGAACTGGGAAAGCAGCCGAGGGTCGGAGCGCTGCAGGGAGAGCAGAAAGCACTGGGCCAGGGGCACACCAAAACCCCAGTGCCCACGGGATGGGGGGTTCTGCCGGGGTTTGCCCCTGTGCGG